CTCCGCGTGATCTGCCTGTAGGGAGGGCCGGCCCTGCTTCACTGTAATGTTGAATATTAAAACGAGCTCACAAACTAGACTGGCTACTTGGCTAGCTAGCTAGATATAGAGCTGCTAAATACACAGTGAAATACAGTTATTTGTTCATTGTAGAATCATAGTTGGAACTTCCACCACAACTTCACCTTCTTACAATGTGCATGGATAAGATTGTGAATGGTTTAATAATGCAACAAGTGTATAGAGAACAACTTTGTGAGTGTTGACTGAAGCTTCTTAGACAAAGTAGTTTAAACTGATTTAGCGCAAATGGGATTCGAATATACAACAAAATATTGTACAAAATGGTTACATGCCAGCAAAACAATGACCCTCAGCCGAGTTTATATTGTGAAACAAGCCAACTTTTCCACAGGTCAACAAAGTTAAGCCGAACTCCTGTAGGCTTGTAGATCCACAGGTGCATAGGAGAATACAAAAAGTTGATAATTGTGGGACTTTAAGAGGACACTATCCAGGAGCCATGTTGTTAGACATAAACCAAACCAATTAATGATCCCACTTAAGAAAATATTTAACTTTATACAGTTTGACCTTCTACTGAAAAATGTTACTGCTTTGTAAGATCTGACGTGGACGATCTGAACAACTAAAACTGTTTTTATAATTTATTTTTGCCAAAAAAAGGAATCACTCTAATTAATGTGTGACTTTATAATTGATTTATTTAATATTAAACCCTTAGGGCTTACTGACTTTTTTGTTCCCAAATGAACCTCTCTCTTATTATTGGTCTGATGCTCATACCTTTTAACAACATAATATGTTTTATATTCTGTTTACTTCCCAATGGAGGCTTTTCTGCAGGCCTAATGTGAAGTAGCCTATAGAAGTATTTTATGTCCTGTATGTCTTTCAGTCTCGAGGCAAAGTATAGGGTATCGGAAGCAACAAGGCCCAGAGAATTCCAATAGTGCGGCCCCTTTATTGATTCACAGTCAAACCAAAATGGTGGTCAGATTCAATTTGCATGCAGTGGTGAGCTTTTGAAGCATGGCGAGACTGCCTGGCTCATTAACAAAGTCTATAGAAACGGACTCTTGAACAGGGCCCGGTGTCAGAGGAGAGCAATTCCCCTCTGCACCAGAACTGGGGCAGACATTTTGGTTGGTGCTCTGAGCTAAGCCAAATCAAGACCCACATAAAAGAATCCCTGATTGAAAGACAAAATATAGACCAACTAGATACTAGAGAGAGAATGTGGGGCAAATATCCTTGATGCTAATCAACGGGACAATTACAAGGCGAGGTGCGTTCAAGAGCTTTCCCACAGCGCTCTTAAGAGCTGTATTATCTTCCCCATGTGATTGTTTTGTGCTGTTGGCGTGGAAAGCCGCCTCTGAGCTCCAGATCTCTTTGCTTCATTCATTATTTCATTGTTCTGAGGAAATATGGTCTCATTATTCTTCAGCCAATGTCGACCCCGCCGTTACCTGTCAGCGCTTTTTGCTGAGGCCAGCTTTGCACACTCAGAGCTGTTAAACACTAATGGACAATCGCTCTTCCCTTTGTGCTCAACATGCCATCTGATGTGCCATTTTGACTGACAGAGGAACGGAGGGCCAATTTGCAAAGGCTGACTTCCAGAGCATCCAGTGTGGAAAGACATTCATCAAAACCTCCATGCCCTTTTTCTTGCCTCCTTGTCATATTATCTGTTCAGCGCTGTCAGAGGCACCGTGGAGTTGATCACACTTTATTTCTGAGGCCTGCGTGAGAAGATCACATGGCTGCGGTAAAGTATAGTTGGGCAATTAATGTCCACTTCCTCTTCTGTCTGGGGGTGTGAAATTAGCAGTGCGAGATAAAGTACAACTAAAGTCCAGAAGTAAAAGGATAAATCAGCCAGGAATCAGGATGACTTTTTAAACCATCTGTTTAATATAAAAAACGCTGTAATATCATAACTTTTAATGACCAATTTAAGTCGCTATAATCGTTCCTATGTCTGCAGTATTTGAGTCACAGTGGTATATTGGCTACAGAAGGACTTAAACAATCGTTCACAACTGTTTTGGAGAAAATAAGTAACCCTTAATACAAAATATGTTAACTTTTAACTCCTTATCAAAGTTGACACATTTATATTAGCTATCGTACTTCAAACTAGAAAAGAGATTTTATTAGAATGATGACTAACAATAAAAGATTCATAGTTATTGAGTATAATGTTTCACAAATGTATTCATCTTTTATGTATGATTGATAGTTGTCGTCATAGCTATTGGCAAGATTGCAGTTGTCATCTTCATTGTCGTTGGCATTGTCATCGCAGTCTCAGGGTAAGTGCTAAAGTGTCCAATTGGTGTTCCTTTTATACCTAATTCCCTTTGGATGACACATCTCCTCATCATCTCATCTGGGTGAGCTTTCTTTGTTGGTTGTATTTGTGCTCGCCAAACATAGTATAACTATCTACCAGTCAACATGCTTTAGGACATTTTGAACTCATGCTGTACAGCCTTGCGATTTAGTGATAGTACTAAAGCTTCTTAAAAAAAGAAGATATCTAAATTATAATAAGTGTCTTTTCCTGAAATAACCCACAAGATAAAATATGTTTTTGGGAATGGTGTAGTCATATCAAACATGAAGTATTGGGTTTTAATATTTCCCTCTGTGAAGACATCATGAGGCTTGAACAAGGAGGAGAAACAAGATAAAACTGAATATATATATATATATATATTTATATATATATATGTATATATGAAACTTTGAGACAGTCTGGAATTGGGGAAAAGATGGTTTTAAAAACTGTAAAGCTACTGAAGGGGAACATATATTCTGCAGAATATGTTCGGGTGTGAAGTACTGAGAGAACTCCTTATCTTTAAGACAATCACATGCAACCTGCCTCCAAAGCAAGCTCTGCCGCTGCCATCGGATTTCACTGTTGCAATGTTGGGTTATGTCTTGAGCTAGTTCTCGAGGCTACTTTTTTCTGTTTCCACAAAGGAAAAGTTAAGTTATATTACAATAAATAGGCTTTTCATACTATCAGTAACTTCGATAAGGTCGGTGTTGCAGAGAACAATACATATAATTACATTGTGCCAAGGGGGCTACATCAAACCTACGCGCCATAAAAATTAATAACAGCAGACCTTGGTCAAACAGCATTCACCTTGATCAAACAGCACTCAGGCCGGCTAAGACAAATACATCTGGGCAGTGGTTTGAGTCTGCACACCAGATGGATGAGCTTTGACACGTCGGGTAATAACTGAGTGAATGAGGACAGGGGAGCTGAAGCAATGAAAGCAAAGTATTTGAAAGTCAATTTGACATGGTTTCCTTTTTCACTGTCAAATTACCTGCCTGGTATTTTTAATGTTCTCATTTACACCATCTGGTACAACCAGATTTACCGGGTTCAAACTCATTTGTGAATACTATTAAACCTCTTTCAATATGAAAAATAACTATACCTCTCTTTCAATCCCAAGGTTCTCCTTCTAAATGCCCTTGTGAGATAGACCTTCAAATTAAGGAACAAACATACAAATGAATTGAATGTTGAGGTCGGATTAAACAAGAGGACGTGTTCAATGTACATTTATTTTGTACAGATAACCTGAGTTCTTCAATTAAACCCACGATTTGTGAATAACTTTGGAGATTCAAGTGACGTTTAAGATTAAAGTTTAGAGTTCTAGATATGGTGAAAATCTTAGAAAGAAATCGCAGGATGAAAACAAATCCTGTAAAAAGGTTAGAACATCATAAAGTTACTTCAAGGTGGGGTATGTAATTTATTTCAGAAACACTTTGTGTTATATTCCATGGAATGCTCAACATCCCGATAGCAATGAATATCTTAAGTGCTTTGACAACAAATCCATAAAAAAATGTAATCCGTGGAAGCCGTAGTAGCCTACTGTAAAAAGCACGACCAATCATCTGAGCCGGCCCGGCTAAAATAACTGGATGGCCTACCTGCCTGTCAGCCTTCCATCTGTGCACAAACTTATCTCGTGCCCTTATTGGTCATGTGCGCGTTTGTGTGTGTTGGAGGAGGGGCTCTGTAAGGAAGTTGGGAGGAAGTGGCACATTTTTTTCGGCTGCGTACTTTCAAATTCTAGCGCACCCGAGCTGCTTTCTCCGAAATGACATAGGCCTAACCCACTTTTAAATAATAATAATAATATAATAAAGTACAATTTCAAACTCAAGGTTATACATCTTAGACCAAAAACAGAGAATCGAGAGATGATGGGAACAACCTTTAATTGCAAAATAAATGACTCTGACCTTTAAATCAGACTTTTCAGAATAACTTTATTTTGATTGGATCCTTAAATATGTGACTGATTTCCAAAACCATGAAAAAAATATCAGCACTCATATCAGCACTTCTCCACTATTGCTCTTCATATAGTAACTTTTTACTTTGAATGTCACAAAGAAAAACAAAATGTGCACCATTACATTTTAAGCAACCAAATCCCTTGCAGCGCTCACTCTGCACTGCATGGCATTTGATGTATAGTTCTAAAAGTCAACCAATGTACACATTTGCCCACACATACACACGCACCGAGAACGTGATTGGTGACTTGTGAGTGGATGCAGCTTGTGTGCGCACTGATGCGTGAATGTACACCAACAGCAGGGCCTCGCCTCTTACAGACAACTTCTAATACACTGTTATCTTTCTGCTTTTTACCGCGAGTTATCGAGGGAAGCAGCACAAGACCAAAGCATGGTGGGGGGAGAGATGCCGATTGATAATTAACTGAGGTATCTGAATCTGTGACGTGCGTGGAGGGTAGAGGGCGACGATGGAGAGAGAGAGAGAGAGAGAGAGAGAGAGAGAGAGAGGAGAGAGAGAGAGAGAGAGAGAGAGAGAGAGAGAGAGAGAGGAGAGAGAGAGAGAGAGAGAGAGAGAGAGAGAGAGAGAGAGAGAGAGAGAGAGAGAGGCGGGCCGGAGAGGAGAGAGAGAGAGGCGGGCCGGAGAGGAGAGAGAGGTCTTGCCTCTTGTCTTGCCGAGGCTCTTTGATTCAGTGGCAGTGGCTGAGACAACCCCGTTACCGGCCACCGTCAACCCGGTAAGTCTTCTTCATATTCTCCCTTTCTCTCTTTTTTATTTGAGTATTTAATGTGTTATCTCTTAAGAAATTAAATAGAAGTTAATGCTCCGTTTCCACACTGGAAGTCGGATAAAAGAAAGTTGATGCGTACAATAAAGGCGAATGAGACGAAACAACGCTCCACGGCAGAATATGTGTAGTTCCTGTGCAAACCAGGAACCCTGACTGTGTCTATCACTTACTTAAACAACCTGTGTAATGTTTAAAGTCTAAATAAACTTGAAAATGATTTACTTTTTGACGCTGAAGCGCATCCAAAAAGCCACATGGAAACTCGGACGCTGTCCGAGGTGCTGAGTGTGCTTAGCTCTACAATGAGTCCAGTTTGTAGCAATTACGGATCCAAATTCGTATTTTTTTATAATGCCAGCTTGCTAAAAAAGTTCCTCATGGATACTTTACCTATCATATAGTCCTATTTGATCAACTAAATCCCTCTGTACATGCTTTTCTTCTCACAGGGTAACTACGACCCTCGATACTCAAGCTCAACAGCTCATGGTGAAGATTTCTCAGAGGACATTGCGTCTTCATCGCGTCTCTGCAGCCCCTATTTGAAGAGAACATTTGGCAATAGCGAACTTTTATTTAAGAAAACAGATTTACACTGGATGACAAAGTCAGAAGATGCTTTGTGTGTCTAAAGAGCGCAAATTATATCACATCAAAGCATATAAAAGCGTCAGTGACAGCTTGGCACATACAGGAGTACCTGCGATGAAGAAGCCCGCAAGAAGCTCCACGCGGTAAGAAGTGGAAGAGTGATACTGAGAGCAGACAGAAGTGCGTGGAGGCCAAAGAACAGACACCAGCGAGTCCTCAAATGATGGGGATAAAACACCTTCTGCTTCTTTTGATTTACTTAGACCCGCTGAATGTCCTGTGCACCGCCACCAACAACAAAAGAAGCAAAACCCCGACAAATAGGAAGCCAAAGGTGAAGGACCTGAACGGCAGCACCACCGCGGTCCCGCTGGCCGCGGCCGTCCCGGGGAAGATCACCCAGGTCCAGGCTCCCACGGTGCAGCACGACACCTGCCTGGGCTACTACGACGTGAGCGGGCAGTTAGACAAAGAGTTCAGCTGCAACAACACCGACCACCGCTTCTGTTGCGGCAGCTGCTTCTTACGCTTCTGCTGCGCGGACCGGGGGAAGCGGCTGGAGCAGAAAATCTGCACCAACATCAACACCCCGGACTGGATCAAAACCCAGCCCCCCTCCCCGGCGCCAACAGGTGATACCTACGACCCGGAGCTAGACCAGACCAACACCACGGTGTACATCACCTGCGGAGTCGTAGCGCTCATCATTGCGATTGGGATAACTGCTAAAGTTGCCTATGATAAAGCCACCAAGCCCCCTCAGGAAATGAACGTGCACAGGTAAGAATTTGCAATATTTATTGATTTTTGGAAAAAGCTGAAAAAAACCTTATACAAGGTCTATACAGAGCATGATGTCACAACATAAAGGTAACCAGTGTATTTGCACTTGTAATTATTTTTACAATAAAACGAAATGCTATTATCTGAGAAAAATACTGTCACACAATAGTGTATTTATATATTTATATATATATATATATATATATATATATATACTGTTCAGCACTCATTTGACCAGTGAGTTGATCCCATTTTGCTCTGAGTGTAAAAACAATAGCCATAAAGTAGAGATTCATCCTCAACTGCAGCCTAAATAACTTACAGCCTCAATATCATGGGTTCATTGAAGCTCATGACCTTTAACACATACCATTACTCTGCTCCCCAGAGCCTACCCATCAAAAATGTCAAGATACCTTTCCATGATACACAACCCACTCTGTGTCAATCCCAGGAGGGAGAGCGGGGGCTATTCTGTGTCCGTTCAACCCTAGAGGGATAGAGTAAATGCTACTGAAAGCCATATGAGTGATCACATTCATCCTGATGGGAGTGGTCTCTTCTGTCTATATATCTAAATCCTCAAGGCACCAGTAGTGGTCAGTGAATTGCTTGATAAGCGTTAAAGCAACATAAAAACCCATCCTGTGGCCATTTCAGGCACCAGCTGAACAAATTGCTACATAATGATGTAGAGAGCAGACTCCAGGCAACATATCTCCACCACCATCAGAACACAAAATGGTTTCTTAATGTTGGCAATTATATGCGTTATCTGCACTTGTGTCCTGAAACAAAACACCCGGGAGAGCCTTGTGAGTTAAGATTGGATTGTTTCTCTATAGATTTATGCTGCAACTTCATTGCTTGCCAAAGAAACATCAAATCACTGCTCTTCGAAGCTGTTGATAAGCTTCATGGAAGAATAAAGGATTTCATGACACTACAAATGATGCCAGGAGATTTCATGAGTTATTGCTGCATGCAGGCAGTTATTGTAAAACTTGGTATGAAATCCAAAGTAATTTCTTAAGAACTGTGTGGGCTTGGTTTGATTGACAGAAGGCTTACTGTACAATAAGCAAGCAACCGCCTAACTGTACATTTTTTTGATCGAAATGGTGCAGAATCTGATCGGTGTGCATAACTTTCCCATTTTAGCCACGCCCACTTCAAACCAGAGAAAAAAGCGCAAAAAACTTAAAATATTTTAGAGGCTTTAAAGGTGGATGAATATTGTCATTGAGCTATATCAAATACTTGTAATTTTTTCCACTAAAACCATTTGCTGGTTTTAAGTTCCCAAATGTGAGTATGTTATGCTTTTAATGTATCTTTTACAATAGCCGAAATGTATTAGGTCGACCAAAGCAATTCAAAGATGGCCAGCTTTCTTGTATCTTTTACAACAAATGCCAGTACCTTTTCTGGCATTGAGTTGTGTGTAATGTGTAGAAAAGCCTATGGCATGGTTTGTGTTTGGTTTATACCATTATTTGTGTGGGCTTATACATTTTCAGGGTGGCTCACATGTTTTCATCCTGTTGCCTTTGGTGTCTTCGTGCAGTTTAAAGACATGCACTGCTTCTCTATGCTGTACAACACTGGGCCTTAACTGCCCAGGCTGTCGTGTGTGTGATGCACGCTGGGATACGATCCACCCACACCAAAGCAGACATTGAAAATATTTAAAAGATTAAATGGGTTTTAGATTTTGATTATGTCTGACTCCAATTTGCCACCCGCTGGTAAAGGACAAAATCACAGTCACTTAGTCATTGCCCTTATCAAAGAGTCACTTGAGTCACCTGCCATTAGCCAGACTGTATTCTTGGCCAGAGGAGGACGTCTTGCGTAGATTTAAGGATATAAAGATAATTGAGCATTGTTATGCCGCGGTCATTATTTTGACACCTGCTGCTTTGAAAAAATGTCTAGAAGGATTACTCAGCTTTCTGAGAAACAAAATCACACGGTCCTGATGATAAGAAAGGAAAGCTGTCCAAATTCTAACCTAACACAAAGGAGCTCCTTTAGTAAATCACACATAGATTAAATTCAAGCTCCAGTGATCGCTCTGAGTGTCTTTTCAGAAGTTGGCACAGTCAACTTTTAATATCCTTATGGAAGCATGAGACTTTATAATACAGTATTTCATTTGAAACAATAAAAAAGAAACGACAAAGCTCATGATGCAGAGCTTTTTTAAATTCTGCTCTGAAGAGATGGTGAAGTTTATGACTTCTTACTGAGCTACAATCCTTGCAGGGCATACTTTCAAGTGGATCTGCTTATGATCCCGCTTCACTATGAGAAGAAGCCATAAGGGTTTGGAGAGAGGTTGTTTAAATGAGAAGGCATGGCTTGCTGAGTGTTCAATAGTGTTTATTATTTTTCCTTTTTATGATTATTTTTATATCACCTACCGTTTGGCACATAGAGCTGTCATAATGATTTCTGCTGGAATAGACCTCAGAGACATTCATGCTGTGACCAAGAAGAAGTAGTGGAACATGGGATTTGCTTTCTATTTGGCAAGGGTCTGCTCCTAAAAGTGGTTGCTTCTCCATTGTAATTTAGACTCTTACCTCTGCGTCTGAGTGAGGACTGTGAGCAGAATACTGAGCTGTTGGCAGACCTTTGCGGTTTCGGTCTGTGACCTTCACCGAGAACAAGAAATGCAGAGTGAGAGCTAAAACCAGTGGTTTGAACAGGCTCTATTGATCACTCTCCACAGATGCAATTTATGTGGGCTAGGTGGTGTGAATAATGCTTTGTTCTCTGATTGCAGGACTGAAAAACTGAGATAAAAGGCAAGACGAAAATGACTGAAAGTTCATTGCATAAGAGCAACAAAGCCCAAAGATTGTATTAGTACATTATGCTTTAATACCCGCTGATTTAAGCTTACATTGGTAGTACACCGGTATCACCAAAGGATAGATGTTAGAGCATCGATGTCTTCCATTTCATTAAATAATCTTTCCACAAAGTAAGGATAGGTTTTATTTTTCTGATCTTTTCATTAGATTGAATAATATGTTGGCCTTATCTTAAAAGGTTGGAAGTACATTTTTTTGGTCAATAAATCCCATAAAGGAACAAAACCAACAACGTCTGTCTGTGATTTCCCAACCCACAGTACCAAGCCATGGTCCCAACTCAGACATGAGAAATAAACCCTAGCAAACGTTTCATCAACATAGAATTCATTCACTCATTTCGAATTGCTTGGCACTGTCATGTAAGCGGATGTTAATCAAACAGGATGAGAGTGAATTTGTTTGGGGACTATTTTCAGCGGCTAATTAATCCACATTGGGTGCTTTTGAAACATTTGAATTGGCCATTATGCTGTCAAAGATGGTATAATAACTTTGAAAATATGTATTAGTGTTGACCCCAAAAATACAGTAGTGATCAGGATTATAAAGTTGTTTGTACTTATTTGGTTTCATTACTCGGCCAAATGAGTTGGTCCTGTTTCTGCAAACAACTGTAGCTCTTGCTGCACACGACGTAGCAGCCAACTGGGACGATGCTAAATCAGGTCGCCCCTGTCTGCGGAAAAGAAACGGCTAAAGTGAGCTCATCCTGGAAGGAAAATGCTATTTATATACTGCATATCTCCCAAAGTCACAGAGTTAAGGAAAACTATGTGTGGTTGCTTTAGGTTGACTTTGACACAGTTACATTATCCTTTCATTTCCTTTAAGAAAACTCAGAAACTCTATCACACAGGCTGACACTGTGCCTTCAAAAGTTGGAATTGGGATTGGTAAAATATTGCTTTTGCTGTATTTGCTGGCCCCAAAGAAGAGACACTGACTTGACTCCCAATAAATGTGCCCTGAGCGCGAGGCCGGCTCACATAATGGGACTCTCCTGTACCTTGTGTACCGCACTATTGAACATTTAACTCTCTTGTGACTCTGGTTATAATTAAGATGTTCTCTAAGCCTTTCTTCATTCCTCTATGATTCAAATTGGATCCGTAGCTAAATAAATTAGGAAGACCTTTAGGGGAACATGATGAAAAAAGTGTAAGGTAAATGGAAAAGGGAAACATTTCAGTGTACAAAGATTTTTTTTAAATTATAATTAAACATTTTATATTTGTTTGATTGCTTTCCAGAGCCCTGGCAGACATTCTGAGGCAACAAGGACCAGTTCCAATATCTCAGTATGAACACGAGAACATTGCAGCGATGGACGAGTCACCTAAAGACGAGACGCCGGTCAGAACCTCGAAGAATCACTACACACCTGTTCACGCCAAGGCACCGAACCACGGTAGGTGACCCTGCTCAGGTCTTATACAGATGTTTTAAAGGCCAAGTGACCTGTCTTGTATGTGGCTTTTACTGCATTCCCGTAAAAAAAGGAATCCAACTTTATTTTTTGCGATAATAAAGCCCCCCTTCGCTTTGATTGACATCCATGGATATAGCTGGACGGGCTGTCCTCTCAATCTTTTTTTAAAAGGAAACACATAAGGAAGTACTAGGAGAATTAAAGGCAAGGCTGTGGCTACATTCTCATCTCCTATAAGCCTACTCAGCACTGGCTCAAAATTTAGATGTAATCTTCTGCGGGAGACGCAAGCTTTTGTGCAATGCTAATTCTGTCCTGCGATGTTCCTCTTATTTTATCCGGTCGGGCTCCGGATCCCTGCTCTAGGAATCAAGTCGTTTGCTAAGTGCCCTAGTATGGTGTCCCAGATTCAACAGTGTTGTGTTTCACTCTTGTGTCACCCGGCCTGCCTCCACCCTCCTCTCCACCACCACCATGGAGGGAATGTGTCAGTGGAGAGCTACAGACTGTACTGAACTGCAGGATGTGAGACACTTTCCTCACTTTTCTGCAGCCGAGTGACTTTTAAAACATTTGTAATCAAGCTGCCCAATCCAGTAGATCACCTCATTCTTGGTCAACGATCTGTTTTTTTAACATTGCCCAGGTTCAAAATGTCAAATGAGAAATGGGAGGAACTATTTTGAGATTATGGGAAGTTTCTTTAAAACCTCTTATATCCAACCGTTATTGATGGTGAATGTAGGCAATTTAAGCGATGTGTTTTTTAGTGCACGCTGTATGGGCCGTGAAAGCTGTGCTCCGTTGCTCCTCCTGGTGGTAATGTATTGTTTTTATTGCACATTAGTTTTTGTAAGCCTGGACCATAATGCAAATGATGAACTAAAGTGATGGGGACCTCATAACATGTTGTATTACTTGTTGTTAAAGGCCGTCTTTGAGACTGGTGGGTCCTCGAGATATAACATCGAAATGACTCTATTTTGAGAGCATATGCTATAATACTAGATCAAGTTGTGGTGGGAGGCTTTGGGGGTGTCAATGAAGACCCACAGCTCATCGCTCCCCCCAACACATAAAAGAAGGACGATGTCAGCTTACTGCCCAAAGTGATTGGCAGCCAATTTAATGGAAAGACATTTGAAGAAACATCATATACGTAAATGTTCAGCAACCAAATGTAAATAGCCAATACCAAATAACATGTTACCAGTTTGCAATCACACCCCCTCCAAATCATCCACATATAAGCATGTAGAAAATACATTGTAATGAGCTGTAATTTGTCGCCTAGACTTTTAGTATTACAGCATATGGGGTTTCAGGAAAGGAACAGGCTATTTTATTCAAAGTGCATGGCCTTTTAGATTTGTGTAAACAGCGCTTTTGCCTGGTTCTCATTTCTGTGTAGTCTGTGTAACTTCAGTGTAATAATTAATTCCTTACATTTATTATAGCGCTTTTTCAATGACTCAAAGCGCTTTACATATACACACATTACACATATATCATACATGCAATGGTCAGATACTGTGGACAATACCCACAGGAGCAAGTTCAGGTGAAGTGTCTTGCCCAAGGACACACCGGCTCTACAGACGCAGCAGCGGCGGGTTTCACCCCTTGATCATTGCACAGCGCACTGCGCCACACCGTCCATCTTCACGCCTCGAGGTCATCGAGGCGCTTTTACAAGTACACATTAGTATCATACATGTACTGTGGACAATACCCACAGGAGCAAATCCGGGTGAAGTGTCTTGCCCAAGGACACAACGGCCTGACGCAGTGGCGGCAGGAGCGGGTTTTGAACTGGAGTTCCCCAGCACTCCCCCTTGATCTGATGATCGGATGCACAGACCACTGCGCCACCCGTCCCCCGAGCATGTAGTGTAGAGCATAGTGCCTGGAGAATAAGCAAACATCGTCACCCTGTGTGATTCACAAAGCCACACATCATTGTTTTGGATATAGCGCCCACAGAAAAGATGTCTTAATTGTCCAATCTTTGTCATGTCAGCCTGCTATTGTTTGCTGCATGCACAGTAGGATGTCACATTGCAGGGGTGAACGCTTTTGAACAGAGAACCCTTCAGAAAGGAAGGGATGGAGGCACTACAGGGAGGACGTGAGTCAGATTTTGTGACCAATTCCTGACTGTGATGTTCATTTAATAATGGAGATGACAGTTTCTTTCAGTGGGGAAATGGTTAAAGCATTCAAATGACAATGTATGGGTATTAAATAACCGTTGTTTTGGCTTCTCTTAGTAGATGTCAGTGTACTTCTAAAATGTTCTTACATTTAGTCAATCTTTCACTTTGAATGCCCATTCAGTTTAAACTCTGTTTTAAAACTAAGGTTGGAATCAAGGTAAGGTTAAGGTTAGGGGTGAGCAGTAGTGGAACAAGTTCAGAAAGATTCAGATTCTTTACTTGAGTAAAAGTACTAATACCACATTGTAAACATACTCAATTTCCAGCGAATTACTGCATCGAGAATGGTACTTAAGTATTAAGTATGATTAGGATAATGTATTTAAGAGTAAAAGTACTCATTGCAGACAAAACTAAAATAATATTTAAATATTTGAAAAAAAAGCAGCAAATCTTCACATTTAAGAAGCTGGAAACTTTTCAACCAAAAATTACTCCAATTAATTTTCTGTTAACCCACTCATGGTGTTAATGTCTTATATATAATGGTGGATGGTTAATCCATATCAAATAATCATATTTTCAAAGTTTACCCTTAGTATTGTGTGTTAAAATCTGGATTAATAAAGATACTACTAAATAATTATAGTTATTTTGCATAAAGTATTCTTAAATGAAAATACTCTGGTAAAGTATAAGTACCTTAAATGTGTACTTAAGTACAGTACTTGAGTGAATGTACTTTCTTCAACTGGTGGTAAGTGAAGAATGATGACAACATGTCCTATAGTCAAAGCAGAAGACTAACCCCCAGCCCTTCAGAGCAGGGAGTTACAATATGCAGAGGATGTCTCTTTTTTTCAAAGTAAGTACATTTTAAAAGCAGAATAGATGAATAGCACAATGTAGACGTTTCTGTTAAACAGCTTCTACTTTATTATGCAGTACCAATATTTTCGTGTTTTTGTTTTCAGCAACATAAATGAAGCACAGCTGGCCATAACAACAAAAAAAGTGTGGCATTTTGTAATTTAAGGCTCGAGGTGAATTTACCGTCAGTATTTTCTTTGCCCTCAAGGTTTTCATTAAATAGAAAGGTTTGGTAATAAAGGGATTAAATATATATTTAATAAATGTGTTTCCAATCAATATTTCATGTTTAAATCCTTTTGTGAAAGGTGCAGTTCACCTCGCTGGGTGGCCTTTATGAGGGGAGCCGGCGGCTACATTGATTCCTTGGTTTGAAAACACCTCTTGGGTCACACCAACAGATCCCATTTACTGTAATAGAAGAAAAATGTTAGATTTGAATAGATTTTTTAACATAGCAGAATAAAGCAAAATAAAATATATTGGTTCTGTCACAAGCTCACTTAATTGATGGTGTCCTATACAGTTAGTATCCTTTTTATTACTGAAAACTGAAGTGCTCCAGATTTAGCCAAAATGCTATTTTGTAACTGTAGTCCCTGGACAGTTCTCTAGTCACCCTAAAAACAAATTATTTAAAATAACAAGTCAATAAATTTATTATAAACCTGCAACATAGAGGTTCACACAACTGCAAAAAAAGAGTCTCACTCTTGAAGGGGAGAGAGACACTCCCTCTTCAATGGAATTATGGGATTTTAGATTTTGTATGCTATTTACATGCACAGAAATATAACACATAACAGGGAAGGGAAAACCCCCACAAGCTTAAAAGGGCCTCTTTAAAGATAAACCTTTTTATGTTTAATACACAAACACTTTCACATAAACTCCTTCCCTGCATGACTTTTGAGCAGATTTATCTCTTAACTGTTTACTTTCCCTAAAGGCCAATTCCAATATTACTTCATAAATTTAACTTTTATCCAGAGATTTGCGTTTTATCTCCCTTCGCCCTTCATGTGTGATGAAAAACTTTAATAGCGTGGTTATGCTCTATAAGAAAATGTGGGATATTCTTTCATTTTGAAGTGTGGATAATGCGATTTGGAGGAACATTTGCAGAGATAATAAGGGGGCAATAGGTTTATGTACGGCGGTGTAGGATCAATTTATATCACAATCAGTGTCTGCAGCTACCTGCTCTCAGCTCCACGCTACTGTCCTTGGAGTATGCAGAGGTTATATAGCATCTGTATTTCACACCGGGAGCCATCATACATACTGTATAAGCCCTATACTGCATCATGTACATAGATACTGCCCTGTACCGTTCTTCTCATGTTTCTTTCGAAGGTCCCGCATTAGCCGAGTTGAGTTCGTAGTCATCCCTTGGGTTTGATGAAAAGGAACAAATGAGCTGTGGGGCTCAGGCCTGAGTGCCAAACTGGGATGTGATGAAGACCATCTCTAATGGTCCCAGGTGTTTCTTCTCATTATGATAATTTGAAATGCTGTTCAATATCGGCTTCCCAAGGCCCACAGGTCTGAGTGATGTTATTGACTTTGAAGTGGTTCCTTTGAGAAAGAGGCATTTCACTGTTCACTAGTTAATGTAGAGAGGGGAAAACGGAGAGAAAGAGAGGAGAGGTTTGAAAGAGCAACCTTTCTTTGTTGCTGTTATCACCGACACTACATTCCTTCATTTCTTCGTAACACTTGTACCGTGATTGACAGGACAATTGAACGTTTTAGGGGTGCTAGCAGGCACCTTGTCTCCCTGCTTTGTGTTCAGACCACACTCTCAATTACCGCACTGGTTCAGAGTGGAGTTAGCAGTGATGTGGTACAAATTGCATTACGGAGTGGTCTTTTAACACAGGAGGAATCCAAAATGGTGTAGCGGCATCCTGAAAGACTTTGGGTTTAATCCTTTCTAAAACAAAGTGTATC